ATTGTTCCTGTATATCCAAACGTCATAATTGGCTTTCATTCCATTTCATCCACTTTAGATTTAGTTTATGTCATCCTTACAATTAGTATAAGGGTTTTTTCTACCTTTTTACCTTCATAGATATCATTTTATGATTATAAGGTATAGGGAAATATAATTTTAACATAATTTACTCCCACAATTCCTCAATTAGGAATACCTATGCAATCTAGTAATGTTGCATCCAAACGTATCCCATATTTTTGGATTATTCTTGAATTTAGAGTTCATCAACTCTTTCAAATTCAATCATATATCACTTAGATAATATCCATATCGAATACTTCGTGAAAGTTTAAGTACTTTCAAAGTAGTGGTTGTTAATTCAAAATTTATTTCAATTGAAATTTTACTTCAATCCAGTTTATCTTTAATTTGATCACATACAATTTGGCCAAGGTCATTACATAGATCAACAATGCTTTTCCGAGCATAAACCAACTTAATTGGTTCCCAGATTGAAGTTAATATGTCATGTTATATACCTTAGTGTAGTATATTACAACAATGATGAGGCCTAAGCATCTTGATTTACAAGAATTGCAACTTCATCATCTCAGTTCAAGCAATAAAGGTTTCTCTTCACCTTATTTATCAATTAATTTTGAAATACACCCAATGAACGAATCACATAACCATTCTTCAAACGATATATTGGCACTATACTTGCCAATAATGATGTTCTTGCCATGTTTCCGTAATTCCATAATCCAGACAAAAGGTAATTCCGCATTAAGGAATTAGACTTTATCGTGACCAACTACACCATTACATGTGCTCCTAGATCACAACGTGATCAATATTATAATTTTTGCTTTTTGGCCAAAGTAGGGTCACCTCTCTTTGAGATAAACTTGTCCCTGGGTCCAATAATTTTATAGGACCAATATCACATGGTGGCCTGCACAAGCCATCTGGTAAATGCTTGGGCTGCTCGTTGAATAGCCGTTGCCCAATTCATGAACCGTAAATTCTTCTCCATGTACAAAAAGAAAGGCACTGGATTTCTAAACTTGTGTCCTTTCAATTAATTACAAATGATTATTCGAATGTCATAAGATTTATACGAATTCTAATCAAAATGCATCTCTATTTTTCCATGCAACTTATGGCACAAAATATCTTTTAATGTTAAATAGACACACCCTTTGGATTAAAAAGATGCCATAAAATAAATTTGTCAATGTTTAAATTAATGCACTACCAATTTCGGCAAATGAAATTCCTTTGAACATGCAAGATAATACAGATCATCAATACAAGTGCAAAAGGATCTATAAAGCATAAAACTAATTATTTTCCTTTATGAGTCAGTGTTCCTTTATACAAAATCTCCTTTATGGCCATTCCATGGTAGCTTTAAGACATTAAAAATTTTTGCAGATAAAATCAAAAAATGAAGTGGTCAAATACCGAACTCACATGTAGTTCCTTATTTAGAGATATCCTTATTGATCTCAATCCTGATCAAGACCAAATGGTTAGCCATGATTTGGTACAAACCTCAAACTAGTCATATTAGCTCAATAAACTGATTTAAGTATTGAACAGTGTTTAGAATTTGATCATTTCTCATCTCAATATCAATTCACATAGGTATGCAATAATAATTCAATACTACTTCGAACTATATAATTTGCTTCCATTGGGCAATCCATATTTAACCTTTTAAGGTATGTTTATTCAAAGATTTCAACTATGTCTCGATTTGCATTCTCTTGTAATAACAATTTCTTTTCTAAGAAGAATACACAATCTTTGCAGACCATAGTTATCCTTTAAAAATGAATGTCATCTACATCATTAAGGATATTTGACATCATTACTAACTATAGGCACCATCTGTGCTCCATAAAATATTTCCATCTCCCAATAATTGGGGAAGCAATTTTCACTATAGAATAATTTGTCATCAAAATTATTTACAGACTTGGTGTGTCATAGTGGAAAGATACCGCCCCCCCCCCCATTTAATCATATGGGTGGACACTATTCTCCAACCAAAGAAACATACAATTTCCTCCATACACGTGCACTTTGTTCAAAATAGAATAAACATATGCATGCACAAATTTGTGAATATCAAATAGATTCACGATTAATTATCTCATGTATTTTAGCATGTCCATGTAACAAATATGCTACTACTAATCACCACAATGTCAGAATATCAGATGACTAACAAATTTTCATCAAGTGAGTTTGAATTGAATATACACCAAATAAATTTACTATTTGGAATTCACGTCTCATATGGCAGTTAATATCTCTAGCTATACAATTCCAATGTCACATATCATAAAATATGTTTAAAGGTTCCGGGCTTATTCAAAAATCCATACCTGTAATATGTTAATAACTGCCCTTGCGGATCTTCCAAGAAAACTTTACTTACAATTTCGGTAACTAATCCACTTCATGTGATTTAGACTATCATCCAGACACCCAACAAAGCTGCCTGCTTGAACTAAATGCATACTTATGTCATTATCATTGTGGACATATTTACCAATGGAAGAATCATATGATTTATTAGTCACACTTAATAAACATGTAAAAACTATTAACCGGAAGTAAAGTAGGAAAGAATCAAAGTTTTACATGCATTTATTCAGATTTCATCATCATGTTTCATGGTCGTTTCATCATTTAATTTTGAATCGACAGAATTAAAGGCAATAATCCTGGCATTTTTAATGCTGTCCAATGTTTATTGTCATTATAATTCAAGTAGATGGCTTATCTATGTGCAGATTTAACTCACCACTTATGGGAGTTAGTTCTATATATTAGAACCCATTTTTTCACAATTCCACATAAAAAGCAATACAATGTTTGTATAATGCATGCCGGATTTACATATTGCATACTGAGTTTTACGTAATGCATACTGGCTTTTACATACCAAAGAAATGGATTAAGGATATCATGAGAAATAATTAGAACAAATATTATTTGTATATTCGAATGCTTATGCATGCAGTAATGAATACAACACGATGGTTATTAAAATTGAATGATACAAAATAAACCACTTATTTTGAATTCAATAGCCAAACATCCATATGACTAAATCCACCGTTTCATGTTGAAGCAACTGTTGATAAGATATATATTTATGTAACGTCTTTGATAAACCAAATCCAACATGGATTAAATTAACAATTCTAAAGAACACTAGTTATTCCTTTCAAAACCACAATTTTCATGTTAGTACCTATACATCCATGTAAATCATATGAATTAACAAAGATAAATTTATATTTAATTTCCACCAATACAACAAAAGTGTCCATTTCCAACGGGTATGAACAAAGGGTAATTGGCGCAAAACGTCCCTACCTTTTAGCTTCATTGTGGAAAATGTCCTCACCTTTCATTTTTTTGGCATTTTTGCCCTCAAATCAACCTTTCGTTGCAATGAAGGTCCTTCCGTCCAAGTTCTATCCATTTTGCCGTTAATTAAAGAGAGATAACCAATTTTTTTCCACTCAGCAGGGGTAAAAATGTCTCACCAATTGAAAATCCTCATTTTCTTAATTTTCTTCTTCACACTTCATAGCTCGATCGGTTCCCATTCCACTCTTTCTCGGTTCTTCAAAAATTCTCATTTATCTTCCATTTCAACAATTATTGCTCCATTCTCCTCTCGTATGGTCGCATACCAACAACCAGCATGGTGGAAGCTCGCGTTGGGAGTTTGTCCAGCGAGCGACGTCGGGTAAGAATCATTACCGTTAGGTATTTTCGTTTTCCATTTCGTATTGTAGTGCTTTGCATGATTGAGTGTATGTGTAGGGTTTTGATAGTGTTTATTGTTGGTACGCAAGCTTTCAAGGAATAACCTGTTTCTTCCATATTTGAGAAACCCCAGCAACGAACGACCCAAATATGGTGTGTAGTTCATCCCCTATTTTTTGTGTGAACTTCTCTGATTCTAGTGTGCATTCACAAAATTTCGGATTGGAATCCCCCAATTTATGTTTGTTTTCTGTCACTGTTCGTATTTCCCTTTGGCATGCATTCGGTGTCCTTTTTTTTTTTTTTTTTTTTTTTTTAAAGGATAAGGACCCGTTTTGGTGTTGAGGTTGAGTTATGTCACTTTAATTATTTTCAGTGAGCTATAAAATTTTAGTGCAATGTTGTTAGTGTTGTATTTCCTACTTTTCTGTTTTTGATGTATTGCTGCCATAGAAGATATCCATGTTTCAGTGTTGAGATTGAGTCTTTCAATGTCCACGTGGTTGTTAACATTATATGATTGAGTTGTGTCCTCTTGCATTGAGTTCTGTCAATGTCCTCCCTAATTTGTTGGTTAATTTTGATGTGAACTTTATTCGATTGCTCGCAGGTGGTAACTCTGAACATTTTACTATCGAAGTCCATTATGGAGACCAATTTTATGATAAGCCAAACAATGTGGTTTATGAAGGGGGTTCGTTCTTTTCGTCGACTTCTTTCATGCTAAATGGTGCAACAGAGAGAATTCACGTAAATTCTTACACGGGACTTGTGATGAAAGTGTGTTAGAGTTTTACTATAAGAAGCAAAAAATGAGCTTAGGGAAGGGGTTGATGAGACTAGAGAGTGAAGAGGATATTAACGGAATGCTTAGGGATAGGGATGGACGTCCAGATGTGAAAATATATGTTGTAGCCCGAAAACAATCATATGCATTGCCATGGAATCCTTCACATTCACAAGTTGACGAAGACCAACCATTTGAAGGTTGTTATATCCTTTCAGTTGCTGCAAACGAAGGAAATGAGCATAAAAATAGTTGGTCAGATAAATATTTTTATGAAAATGCTGACGAGTTGTGGTCACAATACGAGCAAACATTACAATACCAAAACGAGGGAGATACAAATGTAAGTGATTTGAATCTAGACGAAGATCAAAATGAATAAACAAGGGTGGAAGAAGAGGAAGTTGAAAGTTTGGTGGAATTCGATTATGAGATGGAGCCAAAGCCTGTAGATACTGCTGAAGTAGGGACTGAAAGGGTTCATTTTGATTTCGAATTTGGTATGTCAAACGAGCAGCCTGTTAGAAATTCAGATACCGACTACGGGACTCCGATGATTTACAAAGCATTCATAGTGAAGAGGAAGGCAATAGAACTTCAAGAAGGAGGGCTTCCAATGATGCTTTCAATGTGGGGACAGATATGGAGGATCCAGTGTTCAAAACAGGTGACTCGAACATTATTCTTGACTTCAAATTTAAACTTGTTTATCTATTTTAGTGTCATGAGTCTAATATGCATTGAATTTTTTTGTTTATGCAGGCTTGATATTTGAGTCGAAGGCTGTACTAAAGGTTGCAATCACAACATATTCAATTACAAACAATAGAGAGATTAAGTTCAAAAAGGATGATGCTAGTAGATTGAGAGTCAAGTGTAAGGGAGATTGTCCATGGGTGTTGTATGCTACAAAGGAGCATGGTAAGGCAAGTTAAGTGATCAAAACTTTTGTGGAGGAGCATACTTCTCCCATGGTATACAAGAACTTCAGGGTGACCTCATCCTATTTGGCAGATAGATATTTAATTGATTGGGAGGCTGAGCAAAACATGTCAGTTACTGCATTGATGGAGAGGGTTAAGCGAGATGGTTTATGTGATATCTCAGCTTGGCAGACATATAGATCGAAGGAGAAAGTGCTCGAAAAAATTAGAGGGAGTGTGGTGGAGCATTACAAATTACTGTGGGATTATTTTGAGGAATTAAAGAGGACAAATATTGGACCACTGCATTGGTTGAGGGGCACGCTGGAGAATTTCGACGGTTGTATATTTGCATTAGGGCATTGAGAGATGGTTTTATTCGAGGTTGCAGAAGGGTGATTGGGGTAGATGGCTGCTTTTTGAAGACAGAGATTGGTGGCCAATTGTTGACAGCTGTTGACGCGAATAATGGTATGTATCCGATGGCATATGCAGTTGTGAAGGTTGAAAATGGGGATAATTGGAAATGGTTTTTGGAGTTATTGAAGGATGATTTACACATACATAACAGTCAACATTGGATATTCATTTCAGATAAGCAAAAGGGATTAACAAATGCAATTAGGACATTGTTTGAGAACTTGGAGCATAGGACGTGTGTCAGACATCTATACAACAATTTCAGCATCTTTCACAAGAGTTTAGCATTGAAGAAGTGTTTGTGGGATGCAGCCAGGGCCACTACTATATCGCAGTAGCGTCAGCACATGCAACGGATGATGGACTTGGACTCGGCTACTTATGGATGGCTTGAAGAAAAACCAGCTTCCCATTGGAGTAAATCCCACTTTACAGAGTGGAATCAGTGTGACATGATTTTTAACAACTTATGTGAATCATTTAATAGCACAATTGTGGCTGCAAGAGAAAAGTCGATCTTAACCATGCTGGAGGGTATCAGGGTATATTTGATGAGGAGAATTGTGGCCCGTAGAGAGTCTTGTGATAGGTGGACAACATCAATTGGACCTAGAATTCAGAAGATTTTGGACAAAAATGGTAAACTTGCAAGTTTGAGTGGGCTGAGTACGTAAGCAATGAAAAGTTCCAAGTTCGCCACAATGCAGGGATTGTGCTACATGCTGTGGATTTAAGGGCACGAACTTGTACATGCCGTGGTTGGCAATTATCAGGAACTGCATGTAGCCATGTCATTGCCTCTATTGTATCTAGAGGCCTGAACGTGTTGAAGTTCGTGGATGACATCTATAAGAAGGATGCATACATGAGAACATATACGCCATCAATATCTCCCATCACAGATCCGGACGCATGGCCTACCCCAGGTTTGAACCCTCTCACTCCACCGGTGTACACAAAGAGGCCTGGGAGGCCAAAGAAAAATAGAAGAAAAGAGCCGAATGAGGTAGCTTCTTCAAGTCAGCCGAAGAGGTCCACGCAGTCCAAGAGCAATGCCAATACTTCACAATCAACTTCAGGAACAACGGAAGGTCAACAAAAAAGATCGGGGCTAATAATGACATGTTCGAAGTGCGATGAAACATGACACAATAGGAGAGGCTACAAAGGGGCACCACCTCTAGCACCTTGTTAGGATGAAGCTATCTGGCGTCTGCCAAGTTCACTTGTTAATTTTTTGGCTTTTGTTTTTGTTATTTAGTGCACAAATTGTCTGCATGTAGTGGATATAATATAGCACTTTAGGAACCTTTTTTGGTGTTTATGTACTGGGAGAATATAGCAAGTTCAGGACTTATGTTGGTTGCACAGTGGATATTTTGCACATTTGAAATGAATTGTATCTATTTTTGCTTCAGTTTTAGGTTATTTTTGCTTCAGCAGGTAGTGGATATTTTTGTTTCATTTTTCGATTGATTGGTGGATGAATTGTGTCTCAGATTCTGTGATAGAATTGTGTATTTAGGGACTTTTGAGTTGGTGTATATCAACAGGTGGTATATGGAAGAAAATAGGGAATTCTCTCGCCAAATTTTTTTCTAAAAGTTAGGGACGTTATTCGCAAATATTTCTAAAAGGTAGGGACTTTACTCGCCAAACTTTTTATAGGTAGGGATGTTTTAAGTCAAAATTATAACTACATAGGGATTATTAGCGCAAGGTTCATTCGATTCCTAGAAGAAGTGAACAGGACCCATTCATGTTCACCAATAAGCCAAAATGGGTCATTCATCATTGAACTGATACATAGAACCGATACATACTTCACAGCACCCATTTCTACTCGATCTCCTCAATTTACCCCCTGGTCACAATAAGCATAAAGAAGAAATAAATATGTAGCAATCATCTCTGTAGCAATCATCTCTATAAATTGACCACCCATTCAATATATATCTTACTACATTTTTCCAGAAATCCAACATAAAAGTAGCAGTGATGGTCGGATTTCACCACTATATATGCCCTTTAATTAACGACATTTTTTCCCTTATTTAATGTAATAATTTAAAGTATCTTCACACCCATTTTTCAGCTACTGTTATATATATAGACTACGTAGAAGGCGGGAATAAGAGGTTCAATGGGTGAGACGGTTTTACCCCTACTGACTGGACAAAAATTGGTTCTCTCTCTTTAATTAATGGCAAAATAGATGGAATTTGGATGGAAGGACCTTCATTGCAACGAAAGGTTGATTTGAGGGCAAAAATGTCAAAAAATAAAAGGTGGAGACATTTTCCACAATTAAGCTGAAAGGTAGGGACGTTTTGCACCAATTACCCTATGAACAAATATGGCAAAACACCAACTATGTTAAGTTTGTTGGACTAAATATTAGTAAAATAATACCGCATTAACCAATATCGGATGTACATATACCAGATTTGCGCTTTACCGAATTATTGTATACCGCATATGCAACTTACCATAAATGCGACTTACCGTATATGCAACTTACCTATTTATAGCTTACCGTATTTGTAACTTACTATAGATGCAGCTTACTGTATATGTACATACTGGTTTTGTACATAATCTTTCGTCATTATTTATTTATTTATGAAAGGATGCAACCGTAAATTATAAATCTTCAAACCAAAAAGTGAAAGGTCCCATCCTTCACCGAGAGCATGCACTTCAATACATCCATGGTTGGCAACGGTTTTTCCACGTGCAACATACTTCGAAGATAGGCCAACGTGAGATAATTTAATGCAATAATAGCATATGCAAATTCATTCTGCTATTCAATGTTAAATTCACCAAATGAACTATAAGCATTCACGTAGATATATTTAACAAAATAACATGCACAAGAGGGAAAAAATTCATCTTAAGATTGTTGGGGGATATTATACCAATAATGTGCATGTTATGTTCAATAGTTGAAATCGAAATATAATTCAACTTACCAAAATGGTGGAGGAAATAATTTATCGAATTTGAATCCAAACAAATGAATATAGATACATCCATTTCCATTCTTGAATTAAAGCATGTCATTCTTCGAATCGAACATTGCACAAAACATATAAGGTTAATCATATTCTAAAATCAAATACTAAGAAAGAAATCAGAAAATGAAATAAGGAAATGCAAGTGATGGGATTTGGCTGAGGCAAGTGTTGAACTCTTTGTCTTTAAGATGAATTTGCTCCGTATCGGTGTTAACAGTTTTTTCGGAATCATCTCCTAAGATGCAACGATCATGTCTAGCCATAGGAGTACTCCAAATGGCTTAGACCAACGAATTTAAACGGAGTTCCCCCTCTACCATAACCATAATTTTAATGCAAGTATTTTATGTAAACTAAAGTGTAAGCATGGAATGGAATTATATGAAATTATGAATTGAATTATAAATCCAAACACATGGAGTCAAAATATAGTAGTTAAAAATGGTTTGTTAAAAGAAACAACTATACCAATAGACACATCTCTTGAAATTTATATTTATACATTACGAGACACGTTTATTGGAAATTAATCATACCCATATCAAGAGTCATGATTTTTCATATGAAAATACACATCTTTTCATCCATATAGTTTTAGAATATTCTACAATATTCTATACGATTTTTCCACAATTTCAAGTATTTAAGTGCCTTAAATTTGGCTTAATTTCTCATTCACCAAATAAAGAATTCCACTTAAATAATCATTTAAAATTGGTCACAAACAATTTTCGATACAAAATTCCAACAGAATACTCTGAGGCTACATCTGGCACAATAGTTTATGCAGTATGAAAATTTAGTATAAAATTATGTGGTATTAAGGTTAATAGGATTCATTAATTGATCATTTGAAAGACAGTCGTTTGCGCTATCGACCGTATATATAACGTGGAGGTTGGAAGTGCGTTCGATCCAATAAGAAAAAAATCATGCTACACATCTAAGCTCAAATTCAGATGGGACATGTATCGACGTATGATTGGACAATTTGAAAAATTAAAACAAAAATATCCAATCATTTTTAGACATTTCAACCTATCTCTTTACTCCCCTGTTTACTTCCCTATTTTTGACCATGGACAAGTGGTATTCTTCAATAAGAAAATATTTAGTAAATGGCATTCTTTTGAATGGAAAATCAAATTAGACTATCCACATTAATTCACCATTATACTCTTCACTATAATTTTGTATTGAATTCCTCGTATGGTCTAATTTGGCACAGACCTTGAACATGTTTAGCATAAAGTATTGGATACTGCTGAACACTAGAATGAACAAAATTTTACCTGCTCTCTAACTCGAAGCTTCTAAATTTTTCTCCCCACAATGAACATGGAAGAAATTGGAAATATCATGTTACCTTGTAAGTAGTGCCGAACCCACCATGCCCAAGATTATTGGTGACTAAAAATTTATCTGTAGCTGCCGTCATGATGACAAATTCCATGAATGGCCCTCCAGTTAATTTAATAGTGCTTTTCTCTTTAATGACAACATACTTGGGTGTTGGGGGACCATCATCTCTTGCAACACTGGAATTTGGCTATTCTCTTCATTTGTGTTAGACTTTAATCTTAGCATTTCCAGGATTACAATATGTTTACAAGGTACTTAGGAATTCAACATAATTTTGATTACCTCCTGTTTATTTACTCCGATGATTACGAAAAGTACTGCTACAGATGTCGTTATATAGATGGTCGAAGCAACGCCGGGCCAAATTATGCTTTTATTTCCTGCAGTTATATCTTGCAAAAATAGCTAAGCTAAGCGCTCTGAATTCATATTTGCCACTGCAAATATGACTGTCTCCGATCTAGTAAAATGTACCAAAGACATCTAGCGAAGAGTGTGAAGTTGTTTGAACTCGTCCTTTGGTGATCTAATGGAAGTCAGTATTCTAAAAGAGGCATCATCTTGAACAAAACCTGTAACCTGCATTTTGAGCTAATCCATTTAAATAGTATACCAACAGTAAGTAAACCAGTTGTCATCGTACTAAATTCCTTTAATTTGATAGCCATGATAACCTTTTTATTTTGTTTTTATTTTTTCAAAGCATAGCAGATTTGAACAATATGAGAAGCCTTCTCTATCACGGCCTCTCCCGAATCCCCCTTATGAATCCAAAACATAACGTGTATCGATGGCAGATGCCGAATCCTTCACCAAGGTTGACTATGAGTTACTAGTAATTATGCGTCAAAATCAAATGCTTATGAAAAATATCGTGGAATGGGCCTAAAATAAATATTTCATGCTATACCAAAATGAATCACATAACTCAATTTATCATGTGGCTATAACTCTGAAATCATCAGGCTCCTCAAGCTATAAAGAACCAATTGCTTCCTGTAAGAAAAATCGTGGAAAAAATATATAAGTATATAGCTCAGTGAATGGAAAATTTTGAAAATAGCTATACTTTCTCATTTATAGATATTTATCGAAAATTGAGTTCATAGCATTTAACAGTTCAAAGTATAGCAACATGTAATAATAATCAAGATGTAAGACACCTCATAACGCTGAAAAATATCATCTCATAGTCATGATATAATCATCAACTCAAATTCATAGCATCATCTTATCACATTACATGTAATCAGTCAAAGATATACCCTCTGACTGAAATCTATAATCCGTTCCTTGGGCTAAACACTTTCGTCACAAGCCTATGGCCCCTCCATGAATGAAAGAGGGTTTCAAAGATTTCTGATAATTAATTTTAGAACATGGCCGAGACTACTCTGTGAACTATATGTATACGGTCAAGACCTCTATGTGTAAAATAAAACACAGCCAAGGCTCCTCTATGAGCTAAAAAAAGTGTATAATTATGGGGTACTTTTTTGGTCGATTTCAACATTATATGTCTCACATTTCAATTTTAAAGTAATCCATTTACAATCGTTACAAACTCCACATATGTCATGGTGAAAGAAACTTTCATAATAATCATATTAATCGAACAATTAATTCACATAATTACACATAATGTACAAGTATTATTAATTTATCAATACTTGAAAATATTGAAGTTCTTTCCTATCACAGATCTATGGATATTAATCTATTTATATTGACGAGCATATTTAAACATTCACATCACTATCTAAAATAACGATATAATAACTAAAATTAAAACCTGACAAATAAACTAATGCAAATCCACCACGTAATTCCTCAACTTTTATATTTATTCTTGCATCTCTATTGCTCTAACTTTTCCTCTTATTAATTATTTACCAATAAATCACCACACATGATCAAATCTATTAAATCACAACACTTTCTTGAAGTCACTACCTTATACCCATACAACCCCTGCAGATTATTTAATTTAATATCTAGACTTTAATATTTATCATTTAGTTTCCTTTAAACTTGTAAAATCTAAGAAAACAAAGGTTTGCCAAAAACAACACTAAAATGTCAGAGTTTTGAAGATTGACACCTATTTTTACATATTGAAAACTGTCACTGAAACTATTGACAGGAACATTACTTTCTAGGATTAATTTAAAAATAGCACCTATGTAGGATTTTTTCCGAAAATTGCTTATAATCATTGCTTAACAATGGAGAAATCAACATCAATTCCTTAAATGTATGTTTTGACATCATATGATCACAAGAAAACCAAAGATTAAGTCTTTATCTCACAATCCATTCAAAATTCCACTTTCATCAACACCAATTTTCAAACACACATTTCTTTGCTATACTATTAATTACAACCTCAAATATTTATGTACATCAATCACACTTAATTCGTGCTAAACATAAATTAAAGCAAAATTTCCATGAATCCTAAACATCCAATCAGCATAATTTTTACTTGCATCTCTTGAAAATAAGGAGAATTGAGTTTGCCTCTCTTTTTTCTTCTTCTTTCTTTCTTTCCTTTTCTCTTTCTCTGTTTCATTTTCTTTCCTCTCTTTCTGCTTTTAGTCCCAAATGAGGAAAAAAAAATTAGGATACTTATATGAAAAATATGATTGTTATCCATCACATCAAATCACTATATTTGAATTTTTATCTCTTATGTGAAGCTCGTAACGACTATATTTTTCATTCTCATTCTTACATTAATGGGAAACAAGCGGGGCCTTAATATTATAACAACCCCCTTATGAATAAGTTTTCAACTACTGAATTGTTGGAACTTTCGCCATATTTTGAAGGTTTTTCAACTGGAGAAATGAATTTGGGAGATTTTCGGTTGATTGCAATATATTTGTTCAATTTTTCAACCTTGAGGACAAGACTATCTTAAGCAGGAAGAAAATTAATTATATTTGAGTTATAATCAGATGTAATTAAAATTTAGGAAATATTTATGTAATAGCTATAGGTAGTTAATATTAGATTTATGTTATTTAGTTGTTATTAATAATTATTAGGAAATTCAAAATATTCGAATATATCATTATTAGGACATTCAAAATTAGGGAATTTATGTACCTCTTCTACCTATACATATATGGGAGCCTATAAATTATAATGCATAGGAAACTATTCGTCATTTCAAAGAAAAAATAGCCCTTGTTTTAGGCCCCCCCTATCAAAATACATTCTTCAATAGTGATTTGACACCATTTCAATTATACATTTTTTAATAAAATAATATTACATGTAAATCAAAAACTTTTTTTTATATTGTTAACTATTCTCCATCATAACACTATTTCAAAATGTATTTTAAGAGAAAAATGGGGCTCAAACAACCCTTTAATGTTTCTTCTTGGTGGTTACAAGATCAACAATTAAAGCCAAATTTAAGTTTCTTTACGAGTGTTTAAAGAATTATGACCAAGATAAAACATTGAATAATCTATCTGTATTTCATCAAATGGTGTATTTGGATGTACGAATAAGGATTGTAGAGGATTTTAATAAAGGAGACAGTTCCTTCTACTAAGGGATTTGACAAATGAATTTGATAAATAATCATAGGCTTTAATTTAAACTAACTGAAAGCTCTAGAACAATTGCTATGTTCGTATATGGAATCAACCAAAGGTTGAGAGATCACCCTCCTTTTATATTTATTTTTTTAATCCATAGATGAGATTGTTGCGTTTAACAAATTTATAAAATAGAAAAGTTCTATTGTGAAAATGAAGAAAGAATATTTGTTTGGCAAGGGGAAAAAAGAAAAAGGAAATCTGTTGATTGAAAGAGAAAATGACTCCTAATAGTACAATTCGGAAAATGATTTTGAGTAAATTTAGGATTGAGTTAAACATGACAAAGAAAGCAAAGAATAGAAATTGTGATAACCATTTGAGAAGAGAAAGTAAAGAATAAACTTGGCAAAGAATGCAAAGTTAGAGAGACAAACATGGCAAAGAAAGCAAGGAATAAAAATTGGTTATGATAACCATTTGAGAAGAGAAAGTAAAGAATAAACTTGGCAAAGAATGCAAAGTTAGAGAGACAAACATGGCAAAGAAAGCAAGGAATAAAAATTGGTTATGATAACCATTTGAGAAGAGAAAGTAAAGAATAAACTTGGCAAAGAATGCAAAGTTAGAGAGACAAACATGGCAAAGAAAGAAAAGGATAAAAATTGGTTATGATAACCATTTGAGAAGAGAAAGTAAAGAACAAAAATTGGGATAACCGTTAGAGAAAGGAAAGTAAAGAATAAAATTTAAAGAACATAAATTGGACAACCATTTGAGAATAATCAAACTGCTGCAAACTGCATTCAGCGTATTTGTCTTTTCTCTCTCCGAAATAAATAAATCACACACAACACAATCCCAAAGCAAGACAATGGAAGCTGTTATTAGTGCCACCATTCAAGTCACAGTGGAGAAGTTGCTTGCATCCGCCACTGCAGATTTGAGCCTGGTGTGGGGTTTCAAGAAAGACTTAAGAAAGCTAAGTGATTCGTTAGAAATGATCAAGGAAGTGTTGGAAGATGCTGGGAAACGCCAAGTTACCGATAAGGCTGTCAAACTCTGGCTCGAGAAACTTCAAGATGTTGCCTATGATGCTGATAATGTCTTGGATGTGATCAACTATGAAAATTTGGATCGAGAGATCCGGAACCAGGCGATGCCAAAAGTGCGCTTATACTTCCCTTTCTACAGGTCTTTGGCATTCCGATGGAAAATGGCTCACAAAATCAAGGAGATAAATGTCAACTTCGAGGATATAAACAATCGAGCTAGTGGCCTTCGCCTTCAGGGTGTTGCTGGCTCAGCTCTGTCTTTGCCTCCTGCCCCAGAAACTGACAGCATAACTTTTGATCCAATTGTCGTTGGAAGAAAAGATGATGAAGTAAAAATTTTGGAGCTGATAACCAACACAAATGACGAAGTTATTTCAGTCCTTCCCATAGTTGGAATGGGAGGGCTTGGCAAGACAACTCTAGCTCGGTCGGTCTTCAATCATCCAAGCACAAAGAGTCTTTTTGACGAAAGGATTTGGGTATGCATCTCAAAAAATTTGGAGGTGACGATAATTTTTAAAAGGATTCTGGAATGCTTGGGAGACACTGCTGATGTAGACAACAGGGAAGCTATAGTGAAAAAGCTTGGAAAGAAATTGGAAAGGAAAAAATACTTGTTCTTGACGATTTTTGGGATATTGACAATAGACAAGTGTGGGATGATTTTAAAAATACTATGGTTGGAGTTAACCACAATAAAGGAAATGCCATCATGGTGACTACACGTCTTCAAAGTGTGGCATCAATTGTGAAAACTTACAGAGATCCATACAACTTGGAATTATTAAAAGCTGATCAATGCTAGTCTATAATCAAAGAAAGGACCTTTCGAGATGCAGAAGTACCAGAACGATTTGAGAAAGTTGGATATGATATCGCTTGCAAATGTAGAGGTCTACCATTAGCAGCAAACATGGTCGGGGGGACTTTGCAAGGAAAGGAAGTAGATGAGTGGATTTCAGTTCTAGAGATCGGGCTTTCAAAACTTGAAGCGAATCAAAACAGTGTGATGCAAGTCTTAAAGATAAGCTTTGATCGTTTATCTTCTCCATTACTTAAAAAATGTTTTGCCTATTGTTCAATATTTGCCGAGGATTCAGAAATTCACAGAGAAGATTTAATCCAACTCTGGATGGCGGAAGGATTTCTTCTGGATGATCGAGAAAACAATATGGAGACTTCAGGCAATAAATGTTTTAACATTTTGTTGCAAAATTCCTTCCTGCAAGAGCCTGTAAGGGATATGTATGGCAATATCCAATACTGCAAGATGCATGATCTTGTCCGTGAGCTTGCATGCTCGATTTCAAATTCAGAAAGCTTTAATGCCAAAGACTGCTCTATTGATGACATTCCCAACGTTAGATACCTGGCAGTGGAATCGTTTGGAAAGGAAACTACTCGAGCATCGATAAAAGAGAAAGCAAGTTATCTGCGCACATCATTCTCCGGCAGCAGCTTACTTGATAAAATTTTGCCATGGTTCAAGCACCTGCATGTTCTAAAGTTACGTAACGCAGGCATTGAAGTTCTTCCTTCCACAATTGGAAAGTTGATACATTTGAGATATCTTGATGCTTCCGAAACTTACAATATAACAAATTTGCCAGATTCAATTTGCAAGCTCTACAATTTGCAAACATTAAGGTTAAGGTATTGTGACAGGCTTCCAGAAAGGCTATCCAACGTGAGTAATTTGAGACATCTCTACTTTGATCCTTCTGACGATTTTCTCCAGATGCCGCCTAAAATCGGAAAATTGTCTCGTCTTCAAACATTACAATTTTTTATTGTGAGTGACAAGGAAGGCTACCGAATCGAAGAGCTAGGATTTTTGAAGAATCTTACAGGCAAATTGGAGATACGCAATCTTGAACTAGTGAATGGTATTGAAGAAGCTAAGAAGGCGATTTTAGCTGGAAAGCCAAAGATATATGAGTTGAGTTTTATATGGACAACAAACAATGATGAGACTGTCTCGGAAGGCAACAACAACTATAAGAGTGTCCTCGAAGGCCTCCAACCTCACCCAAATTTGAAGAGCATAACAATTGACGGTTTTAGAGGTACGAACTTTCCATTATGGACTATGAGAATGGAAGTATTCCTTGATGGCGGTGGTTGCTTGAAACTTGATAAATTGATCAACGTCAGCTTCAGTAATTGCAAAAATTGTAAAGAAATTCCCATGTTTGGCCACCTGCCACTCCTCAAATTTCTAACCTTGGACAATTTGCCTAATGTAAGATCCATAGATCCTTCATTCTATGGTGTCAGTTATAACATATCAGGGTCGAGCAACAGTAGCCAAGAGACAAGAGTAATGTTCCCAGCACTTGAAATACTCACTCTAAGTGACATGCCTAACCTAACAGAGTGGGCGGAAGCTGAGCTGATGCCAGTTGCGGAAACACGAACATGCAGAGAGCAAGTATTTCCTTGCCTTAAGGTTTTGAAGATTCAACGTTGCCACAAATTGATTACTTCTCCAAGTCATTTCCCTTGCTTGAAAGAATTGAAGATTGATACTATGGATAGTGATTTACCATTGACAAAGATTCTGAGTAGCAGTGACCTTACTTCATTGGAAGATCTCTCGATCACGAATATATCAACGCTCACTTGTCTTCCCCAATTGAAAGGATTCCAGAAATATCTTCGAAAGTTGAGTATTCAAGGTTGTGGCAAATTGCGAGAATTATCTGATGATCTACACAGCTTTCGGTCTCTTGAGAAATTGGAAATAATTGACTGTCAAAGTCTGCAATCAATTTCATGTCAAATTGGACAAAAAGGTCCCCCTTCTCTTCGACATTTGGAAATTATTCGTTGCTCTGAGCTGAGCTGCCTACCAAGTGAAATGATTGAATCCATTGAGTGTCTGGAGCATCTAATTGTGCGTGACTGCGGAAAACTCGTTTCTTTCTCAATAGATTTGGGGAAATTGCCTTGTGTCTCTTTCTTAGTTATAACACAGTGTCCTAAATTGAGGACTTTGCCCAAGGGAATTGGCCTTCTTAGCAACTTATTATATTTGGGCTTTGGTGGATTCTCAAAATCAATTGATTTCAACTCATTTCAAGCTGCTCTCGATGGCATCCAACAATCCAAATCTCTCCACAATTTTATTTTATATGGTTGGGAACATTGGGATTCATTGCCATATCAGCTTCAGCATCTCACTTCACTCCGCTACTTATTCTTGATCGATTTTGGATTTGACGCATTGCCAGAGTGGTTTAGGGATCTGTCATCTCTGGAAAATTTATTTTTGTCTTCCTTAAAAAAGCTTAGGCATATGCCCTCTAAGGAAGCAATGCAACGCCTCGCCAAGCTACAAAATTTAACTGTTATTGGCTGTCCATTGCTGGAGAAGAGGTTGAGGGAAGAAAGAGGCCCTGATTCTGAGTATTCAAAGGTTTCGCATATTCCTTTCATAGAAGGAAGCATGGGGTTGGTTAGACCTGAACTGGGGTAAGTTATAGAGCTCAACCACTTGAGCGTTCATTATTTCATTTTATTATACATTGTAATAATTTACTGTGTATGTTGCAAATATAAATTAAATATGCCAAAGCAGTGTTATTAATTGGTAAATCGTCTTGTGTATTTCACACCCAACAGGTCACCAATATATCAATCCCCATTTCTATTTGTAAGTACTTGTTATTATAATTATTTTCATTTGGTAAATTGAAAATCAGATTAAAGAACTCTATGGATTTGTTAATAGTTTATATTTTCACTATTTTGAATTTATTAATACAGTTTAAAATTGACAAGGTGCTCTATTTGCTGGTCAATTATATTTATTCTTAACCTAGTATCCATGCTAAAGTACATTAAGCCCCTATTTAATACCCATTAAAAAGATTTTTTTGGAAAAAATGAATTTTGGAATAATAATTTTTAAATAATAAGTGGTCTAAAAGTAAGAAAAAATTTTAGATTTATGTGCAAATATTTTATTGTAAGAACGTGTGTTTGAAAATGAGTTTTTTTTTTTTTTTAAAAATAAGTTGTTCAAGAATGGTAGACAAATAAGGGTTAAATTTATTTTTTCGATTTCACTTAAATATCTATATGCAAAATTAATTTATTTTTCCTTTCATTATTCTCAGTGGTGAAACACCCCAAATTCTAATAATACAGTGGGCTACCAAACACGTGTCCTTTAAGGTTAATCTCCAAATACAAAATTTATCGTCTTCTAAAAAGGAAAACGGCAAGCTGACACAGTTTTCTCCATTTGTGCAGTGAGTTTGCCAAAAAATTATTTGATCTAGCAAACCCTGAGGAAAATTTATGAAATTTTACCGGATACTATAAAACTCATATAAGTACAACATATAAAAATTTGGAATCTCGATGACAATGTTTGAAGAACTAAAATATTTTTCGAATAGGCTGGTCCATAATCCCGGATCTGGTTATTACATCTTACAAAAAATGCTATAATAAATTCTACGGGACTCCGATCGACCTATTGATCGACCTGTTTTTAGTTACATATGATAAATAACTCATAAGTGATCATATTCCAATTTGAAATATGCTAAAATCCTAAATATACAGATCGTAGTAAAATTGTAAAGACGGTGACAAATGTTGGAAATTTATGAAAACACAGGTTCAAACTTTAAAAATTTCCTTCTCGAAAAATAAACTTAAACTAAAATTTCTTCGACACCACAAGGATTATTAACTATGAAAAAGACAATCTAAAACATAAGATATAAATTTCTCTAATGCCATCAATGTTGAGCCACCGCATGATCTCCGTTTATTCTGAAAAGTTTTAAATAGGAATGAGCATCACAAAGAAATATTCAATAGGCTACACATGCTATATAAACATAATAATCATACATCTAATTACGTGTTCTTATATGTTTTCTTCGTTGATATGCAAATCAATAATGACACGATCTACTTAAACATATATAATTAAAGTTCCAATAAGCCTTTACGACCATCAGTCAAACATATAATTTTTCTACCCTTTATGTTCAAAAAGAACCATTAAAGGAACTTCACATACTTTCATAAGCAAAAGATAAAGAATAACATGCATGAATGACAATTAAATCCATGTAACAATCAACTTAGTGTAGGAATCCTACCTTCTTTCCAAATGATAGGCAGCGACTACCTTAAATGATATTTCTTTTGAAATCTTAAATATGAAAATGGTCTTTCCTTTCCTTTGTAATTAATCTGATGAAATATGTGAGTACTGGCTTGAATAGCATCGTCTATTGCATGACCAATCTTTTTTTGAAATAAAAAAAAAAATGGAAATGGAAACTAAAGTCTTTACAGATTAGGTACCTCAATTGATTTGGACTCCCATAAATATTTATAAAGCCTAGCAAATGTAAATTGGTTTTTACCTTAATAGTAGTGCAAGTCTCTTAATTATGGTTTAATTATGGAATGACTACACGTAAATTAAGTTGTAATGGGGTTAATTAGGATTAAATTGAATTCAAATGGAAAACGAATAAACTAATTCAAGGTATCTTAAATTTAAATCAATACATCAAGTCGTTTTGTCTAGTGACGCACGTGGTTGCCAAACTTGTTAACATGCTTAATTAGTTTTAGTTAAATAGGGATTTCTTTGAGCTACAAAACATGAACCTAACTTATCAAAAATAATTTTTTCTCGAGTCTAAAATCCGTCATTTAATATGAGTTTCGAAACAAGTATAATATTGATAGGGAAATTAAATGAATGCTTGATTATTCTACCGAATAAAAATAATAACGTCGAAACTTAATTTCATATTAGTCTCTCAACATCCCAAATATGAGAAAACGTTCCAAAATGAATTAAACGAAATTTTATTTTTCGACCACTACAAATCCTTCCCACTTAAAATAATTTCGTCCTCGAAATTTAGCTTTCTTAGTTAAGGAAATTCGGATACTTAGCTAAAACATGTGCTTCTCTCTCCCAAGTAGCCCCATCTTTCTCATGTTTATCCCATTGAACTTTGACTAATGGCAATTCGCGATTTCTCAAAATGTGCAACTTCCACTCTAAAATTATTATGGGTGCTTCTTCATAAGTCATATTATTCTTCACATCCAAAAAGTGCACCTTCCTCTCTAAAATCATTACAGGTGCTTCTTCATAAGTCATATCATTCTACACGTCCAATGAGTGAACATTAACCACATGACTTGGATCGTATATGTACTTCATCAACATAAAAACATGAAATACGTCATGCATTGCCGATAGGTCAGGTGATAGTGCTAATTTATATACCACTTTTCCAATCTTCTCGAAGATCTCAAATGGGCCGGTAAATCTCGATTTCAACTTCCATTTCTTCCCAAATCATAGTATCCCTTTTGTCGGTGCAACCTTGAGAAATATTTTCTCTCCAACTTCAAATTTTAGTTCTTTTCTCCTCTTACCTGCATAACTCTTTAGGCAATCTCGAGCTATCTCAATCCTCGTTGTGATCTTATTAATAGTTTCCACAATCTTCTCAATAAGTTCTGGACCCAAAATTCTCCTCTCGCTAACCTCATTCCAACATATTGGCGAACGACATCTTTAGACATACAATACCTCGTTTGGTGCCATGTCGATAGTAGCTTGAAAACTATTATTGTATGCAAACTCAACCAACGGCAAAAAGTTCTCCCATTTACCACCCAAGTCTAGTATACATACTCTCAACAAATCTTCTAGTACTTGGATAGTTCGTTCTAACTGTCCATTGATCTAAGGATGGCATGCAGTACTAAGTTAACCTTGTTCCTATAGCTATTTGAAGACTCTTCCAAGATTTTGAGGTGAATCTTAGGTCTCTGTCCGACACAATGGACACTGGTACCCATGAAGTCGAATGATTTCTCTGACATATAATTGTGAAAATTGTTCCAGACTAAAATTCATACGAACAGATAAAAAATGGGCAGGTTTTGTAAGTTGGTCTACTATTACCCAAACGGCATCATGACCTTTCGTCGACAAAGGAAAACCTACTACAAAAATCCATCAAAATCTTTTCCCACTTCCATTTTGGTACGTTCATTGGATTTAATTGTCTTGATGGCCTCTGATGCTTTGCTTTAACTTGTTAACAAACTTTGCACTTTGATACGAACAAAACTATTGTTCCTTTCATATTCCTCCACTAAAAGGTATTACGTAAGCCTCTATACATTTTTGTCGAACCTTGGTGTACGGCATAAGGAACGGAATGAACTTCAGCCATGATCTCCTTTCTTAGTCCTTCATCCTAAGGTACATATAGTTGGCCTTTAAACATAAGTATCTTATTACTGCTTATATCAAATCCCTTCCTTTTCTCAATTCAAATATCAGCCATGATCTTTTCCAAGAAAAGGTCATCTTTTTGTGTTGCTACAATCTTGTCTCTAAGCTTTAATTTTAGAACTAAATCTATTAACTTCTGTGACACTCGAGCTAATAGTCTTAGCACTTCTATTCTCAAATTTTCAAAGTCTTTGATTAAATGGCTCTGTTGTGTACATAATGCTGATGAATGACCCAAGTTTTTCCTATTCGGAGGATCCCTTACTACATTGGCTTTACGCAGATGGTAAAAGATGTACATCATAATCTTTTGCTAATACGAATTATCATCATTGTCTCATATTTAACTTTTTTTGGGTAAAGAAGTACTTGAGGCTCTTATGATCACTGTAAATTTTACACTTGCTTCCATAGAAGTAATGACGCCAAATCTTGAGAACGTGAACTACTACTGCAAGTTCTAAATCATACGTCGGATAATTTTTCTCATACTACTTTAATTGTTTTGATGCATAGCTATCACCCTTCCACGTTACATCAAAACACAACTCAAACCTAGCTTAGACGCATCACTATAGATAACAAATTCCTCTAGAATTGCAAACACTGGAGCGGGCACTAGTCTATATTGACAAGCATTTCCAAACTTTTATGACACTACCTGAAATAACGATATAATAACTCAAATTAAAATTTGACAAATAAGCTAATACAAATCCACCACATAATTCCTCAACTTCTATATTTATTTTTGCATCTTTAAATCTCTAACTTTTCCTCTCTTTAATTATTATTTACCAATAAATCGCCACACATGATCAAATCCATTAAATCACTACCTTATACACATACAACCCCTATAGATGATTTAATTCGATATCTAGACTTCAATATTTATCATTTAGTTTCATTTAAACTTGTAAAATCTAAGAAAACAAAGGTTTGACAAAACAACACTAAAATTCCAGAGTTTTGAAGATTGAGACCTGTTTCTACATATTGAAAACTATCACTGAACGCACTTAATTCCTACTAAACTTGAATTAAAGCAAAATTTCCATGAATCCTGAACAATCAATTAGCATAATTTTTACTTACACCACTTGAAAATAAGGAAAATTGAGGAATGAAAAAAACCCAAACTTAAAAGGCGACAACTATTCCTTCTTTGTTTGTCT